CTGGCTCATTTTCTATAGGAGACATTCAGCAATGTCTATTCACCCATGCAGGCCCAAACATGTGCCATCCCAGGGCAGGATCATCCTGATTCCCAGAGTCTATTTTACTAACCCTAGGATGCTAAACTAAACAAGAGCAGGGCATGCTCACACCATAGTGTCCAGCCCTCTTTCTGCTTGCCCCAGTTAGCTCTCTCTGAAGGAATGCTCCAGCACAGTTTGGGAGTTGCATTGCTCGGGACTCTTCCCAGAAGGAGGAATGGACACACTCAGCTTGCTTTGCCAGGAAGTAAACAGAGGGAAGGAGGAGCTCAGCCATATCAATGTGAGCCATGCTGTAATAAGCTGCTTGTTCTCCAGCCCTAAAAATAGGCCATGACCCATTTTATTTACTAACATGGTATGTCTACCATAAATAAAAATCCAGGGCTATATTTTTCCAGGCTAATTGCCTGGAAAACTCATTAACTATTACTTTAAAATCTAAAGCTTTTCTCTCCCTAGAAGCAGCTGATCCACCAAATGGTTTATAACAATTTGGCAAGAGAGTTTTGGGCCGCAGAAGTTTTATAGAATAAAAATAAATATATAACTAAAACCAAACTGCACCCCACAGGCCAAGCTCAGCCTGTGGGTGCCTCCATTTGCCCCACTGCCCTTTGGAGGGGGCAAGGGCAGAGGCCCCTTCTGCTCACTGCTCCCTCAGCATCTCGGGAGGGCAGCGGGCACCTCACAAACCTGCTGCACTTCCCAGCTGGGAAGGTGCCTATAACTGGGTGCCAGAGCAAAATTGGGCCTTTCTGAGGTAAAAGACCTATCAGTTTCTTCAGCTGTTACGATCGGGAACACAGTTATCATCAGGAGTAAGAGTTATAACAGTTCTACAAGTAGTTTTCCATCTTTGGGGCATCTGCATTTTGTTTATAAGCAGAAGTCATAAGGATATGAAGTCTGAGAGCTGACCAGCAAAACGACCTGGCACCTTTCCAAAAGCAACGTACTGCAGGAAGTCATGTTTTCCCTGGATCAGGGATGACAGCCTGAGCACCTGAAATCAATTAAAAGCTGGGCAGTAACCCAAGCACATACCCGCCGCGTGCACTCACCATGCCCTTGCTCCGCGCCTTCGGGGAGCGCAGGTCAGCAATGATAGCTGTGGAAAGGCTGACATTCCCTTTGCTTATTCCACCTATGATCCTGGAGAGAAGAAAAATGCCGAAAGTCCTAGAGGCAGCCCACAGTGCATACGATGCTATTAAACCCATCTGCAGAAGCAAGAAAGGGTTCTTTTATAAAGCATAGCAAATTTCATCTTATTTTTCCACATTTCCCAGCTATACATTTGTGACGGAGGATACCGTGCTTTTTTCCATAATAAGTTATAAGCACATGTTCTTATGTAATTCATTCTGAAGCACTATACAAGATTTTTATGTCTAATGTTGCCAAGATCCACCTTGTATGTGCATACCTGCTCTGTACTGCTTCTGCAACTCCCTCTTCTGCCTAACAACACGGGAAACTGCTTGAAAAATGCTCATTCTCATAACAAATACTTGCACTGCTATACAGCACTTTCTAACCAACAATCATTAGGCACCTGAAGAACTAAAATATACAAGGATTAAGTTTAACATTTGCAAACAGCATGTCTGAAGACAGGGCTCCTGTATCTTGTGGTAAGGGCTTTAGAGAGAAATATATATATATATATATAGGAATGTTTATGCCTTTAAAGTACAATTATGGACCTGGGACCTAAGTTTAAGCACTCAAAATTGGAAACGCAGTCAAGTGACTTGTCAAGAAAAAGCCAGCAACCATGACATCTAGAATTTAAATTTCCCAATCCCTTTTGCTACTGACAAGGCCACAGTGAGATGGTGGGACTAGAATCAGCACAAAACACGTACCACTGTCACCAAGATGACAGGTCTTCTCCCCAGGCAGTCTGACACAGCCCCAGTGAGAGGAGAGGAGAAAAACTGCAGGATGGAAAAGATGGAGCCAATCAGACCTTAAAATAAATAAATAAATAAAATTAGACTTTCGATGTATATCTTAAAAGCAAAGACGGTCAAGATGTTCTAGATATACTGCTCTCCCTCATGTCCCTAAAACACACACACAATTAAAGAACTGCTACAAAAGAACAGTTTTGTCTCTGAAACCACCTGCCCTCAAAACACATCTTGTTATTTAACTGAGGGGACAAATACCTGGACAGACCAGAATAATACGGATAAGCTGAATAATTCACTGATTTCTTCTTTGGTGAGAAAGGAATTTCAAACTCACTGGTTATAATGGAGGTTCTCCAATGTTTCTCTCACTGACAACATAATGTTTTCTGCTCCCGATATGGAAATAATACAGTTTTCTAAAGTCACAGTTATTTTAAAAAATTTTGATTGTTTGACCCTGATTCTGTCACATTTATTTAGCTATTCTTTCTTTCTTGTCATGGGAGGAAGAACACAAGGGCTGCTGTTACTAAGACACACTAGGAGGTAGGAGTAACTTAACAGACTGCAGAATTTTTTGAAATCTGCCTCCTACTTCTGTGATCTTTAATTCTTCTTTTCTCTTGGAATTTCTAGCTTCATGCATTTGCTAGTTCACATTACACTGTCAAACAAGCCTTGCTGTCACTTTTAAGAAAATTGGGTTATACGATACAGATCACTCAGCAATCAGTGCTAATTAAAGCAGACCAGAAGTTCTGCTCCCACCAGCTTCAAGGGTGGCAGGATACTGACACTGAATACCTAGGGGAGAACAGTTGCTCAAAAGCTCAGAAAACTGTGTAAAAATTTCCAGATACAGTGGCAGTTCATGTTAGTGAGAGACTAAGTTTTCTTCCTTGCATTTCCAGCACTGCAACAACACCAGACATGCCAAGCACTTCACTCTCAGGGAGCAGCAGCAGTAAGGGGGTTGCTCCACAAGGTCACACACAGCCTGGACAGGGCGAGCAAAGGACTGTGCTGACAGCAGGGTCCCCTGGCAGCCCCAGCTAAAGCAAGGAGACAAACTGGTCCATGCAGGGCGACCAGCCAAGACCAGCAGGATACAGGGCCAGAGAAAGGAAACAAGGCCACAACCTAGGGCTGTCCAGGAGACAAGTTACCTGCAGTGCAGGTCTGCAGCCCACCCAGGATACAGGGCCAGAGACAGAACTGGAGACAAGACTATCTACAGTGCAGCTCAGGCAAAGCCCAGGCCTGAACTTACATGGAGCTCCTGGGCAGGTGTGTGGGTAGAGGCTGGTCAGGGCAATCAAGGTGCCCTCAGGGCCTTGACATTGACAGGGAACCTTTCTGTCTTGAAGTTGCAATCTAAGCAGAAGATGAAAGAAAGAGAACAGACAGATCCCACAGTGGGGAAAGCAACAACATGAACTCGCATCCCATCCTCCACACTGCCAACAAAAGCAACAAGGGAACACAGACAGGAAGACAACAGTGGCAGCCTCTGCTTAACCTCACAAGTACAACAAAACTCTTCTACTATAACAATTTAAGGTGCAATCAGACAAGATGGGCTGAAACAACAGCTGACGATCTCTAAAATGGTTAGTCCACTTCCCCCAGCTTCTTCAGCTTTGTTCAGCTCTCAGGTTAGCTAATTCAACTCAGTCTGGTAGGAATCTTCAGAAGCCAAACACAGTGTATATTATGTCAGCTCAGCCATCCTGTTTGCACCCTTGTTGCCTGGTAATTAACGATCCTTCCCATCATTGCTCAATGCTTCTGCCTCCTGAGAGAAAGCAGCAAGGAATACTGGCTTCCCTTCTGAGGCAAACGGTATCTGTTTTATTTGTATGTTCTCAGGTACATGCTGTATTTTCTTCAAGCTTCAGGCAGACCTGTCTGGGAGGAACAAGCAGATTTCTCCTTTCCCTTGAAAGCAGCTCAGCC